AGGCTTAATTTTTAAGTTTTTCCTTACTTGTATTTTCCAATTTTCTATGATGCACATATACCATTTTACTGTAATAAATGGTATTTTAATTGATTTTAAAAAACAAAAACAAAATACACTCACATGTACACACACTCAGCAACATAAAATAATTTTTAAAAAGGCCAATAAAATGTTGTTACCTTAAAGATGACTGTGATTTAAGTGTTCTAACTGCAGGGGTCTCTTCTTTACTGATTTCTAGGTTTTCAGAGAGTGAAGCTGCTTCTGGAAGCAAATCTTCAGCTTTAAAGATCGACTGTATGGTTTCATTTCCTTTACTAGTTAAACTATTTGAAAGTATGTTTTGATTACCATCACTATCAAATGACAGCATATTCGAATCTTCTCTGTAGTTTAAAATACTACTTGAATCTGTATAAAATGAATCCTTTTTGTCACTTATTTCTGATCCCATTTCTCCTGAGCCACTTTTGTAAACAAGTCCACTACTTTCATCTTCACTTATTTTCCCTAAATGTTTATCTGATAAATAGTCCATAAAAGAAATGCCTTTTTGCAGATTTGTATCACTAGCTGATTTAAAAAGCAAAGGATCCTTTAAAGGGACATGGCTAAGGTCAACACTCATAGATCTGTTGTCCGACATATGATTAACAGTTATACTTCTAATTCTATTTACATCCCTACTAATTTGTTTTGGTTTTGAAGACAAAAAATCCCCATTTTCTGTAGACAAATAATCAGGAACCACTGGGCTCACACTTTCAGAAACAGGAGACTTAAGAGTATTTGCTTGATCCACTGGATGGAGCAAAAGAGCCAGTTCTGCACTTCTAAGTAAAATTCCAATACAAATGGATGTCTGACTAGCAGGACTGCCAGTCACAGCTTCTACATCTTTCCTTAAGTTCTCTGAAAGCAGGATAAGTGACTCATGCAGGAAAATTAGTAGCAGATACTGGTAGTGATTAATCTGCATACTGACATGTTTATGAACATGAACTAGGACATGAATATCTGCCTCTGATGAGGAAGAGGAAAATCTGAAAAATGTATCTGATGAAGGTTTCTGACCACCATTTGTCAAGGGCTCAGACTCTGTACTATAATACTCCTTCAAGAGCTTCTTCCGCTTCAATCGGCCAGCCAGATCACTAGATTCACTTTGTGATGTATTTAGAGATACTTGACTACAAGTCTGTGGCTCTTTTTGTGACTCTGCATATCTTGTTGGTTGACAAATCCAAATGGAAAGAGGGAATGAGTCTACAAAACTTATTGGCCGTCCTTTTCCACTTTTCATCCCTTCATAATCTATCCAAAATTGAGAAAAGTACACAGCCCAAACATCCATGGCAGCAGAAGTTTTAAGAGTGTTTTTATTCAATTGGGGAGTAATATTTCCTTTATAAACTTCATGCATTTTTGTATCTTGTTCATGAGCATGTCTCTGGAAAATTGGATGTAAAAGATTAAAATTGTCACGAGATTTGGGGAAGCTGGTATATGTTTTACTAAAAAAATCACAATCTTTAAAGTCTTGAAACAAAGCTTCTAGGTCAGAATGTCGACAGTTTGGACAGTGCCTTGTATTTGTGGCAATCATTTCAGAACTCTGAATAGAAATTGCACGTGGCTGATCTTGATGACATTCAGATTTCATTTCAGAAGGAATGACAAACTAGAAGAGAAGAAAAATTAATGTCATCCAACTGGCAAATCCATACATCTTGAAGATAAGAGAATATGACTTAGCTCAGAAATTCTTCTTGACCTTCCCCCCAAAATATTACTTTCTTATTAAGACATAAAACACTAACTCTTTCTATCAAATCTTTTTATTAAACTGTGTAAAGAGAACTTAAATGACCACTAGAAGAGAATTATCTTTTTAAAAAACATAACATGAAAAATGAATGTAACATATATATGTACACAATAAATCATAAAATAAAAAGAACAAAATTGAATTATATCACTGCTACTGCTTGTATGATACCTTTAGCATTAAGCCATCAACTCGAACATCAACATGCTCATCGGATTTTGAATTGTCATTCAACTTGTACACAGCCATGAACTGATTAAGACTCTGTTTTAAATCCAGCAGAAATTGATTCAACCATAGAATGCTTCTTTCATCCACAGTAAACTGTAATGCATTCAGCTGGCTATAGAGGTTAGGAGATGGAACTGTGGAGAAAAGATTTTTTTTTTTTTTTAATTTTTAATTGGATGGTTCTAAATCTTCCCTGAGAACAGAAAATTCATGTTTAGTCAGTTTTATTCTCTCATAAGATAAATTTGAGGAGTTATTTATAAAATCAAAGTGATACATGTGAATGATAGCAAACACATTTAGACAAATTTTCCATGCCTCACTAACTGAAAAAAAATTTTAATATTTTAAAATATAAATCTATAAAACACATAAATATTTTGAATATATAAATTAATCTAAAACTAACTGCATAAAACGAGAAGCATTGTTTCAATTTCTTTCCTAAGGTTGTATTCACCAAGAAGCAAACTTCTAAAAACATCATCTTCTTGATGAAGTATCACATCAAAGTGGTCCTCGATCACCTATTTCTGTAAAGACTTTACAACCTGAATCTTAATCTAAATCCTCTAAAATGAGAGAACTAAGTCTAATGACCAATTTCTTATGAAAGTGCTATGCTAGCAGGATCTCCTTGAAAGAAAGGACCACACACACGTTTATTCCCCACTTTAATCAAGGCCTAGAATATCTAGAATATCAAGTATCTCCTGAATAATAAAGGGAATTCACTCTTTTTCACAGCTCTCCTAAAACAAACTAACATTCACAATTAGAGGGTACATCACTTCCTGAAATATAAATATTCTTCTACCATAAAAGCCATTTTGTTTTCAGAGGACCTTGATGAAGATCCTTTATTCTAAAAATTCAGACATATTTATTTCTACCAAAGCTAAAATTATGCATATCTAGAACACTTAAGACTAAATTTAAGAAAAATAAATCTAAGGTGTAAGATATCAGTAGAGAGAGAACACGTAACAATGTCCTGAATAGGGTTTATTTGCTTATATAATTCATTTATTCATTCACTTTCCTTTAAGAGTCACTGAATGTCAACTACATTGTCTTACCCTAAGCACAAAGAACACAAAAACAAATAGGGCATGGTCCCTTTCCCTTAAAAGTTCATAGTTTATTACATGAGACAGATACAAACAAACAAAAATTATAATTCAAGTCTTATCAGAGACATGCAATTGTGCAGTAGAGATGCTTGCCTCTCGGAATAGAAATAAAGTGGGTGCTGCAGAGACTGTATCACACTCTGGAAGGAAAGAAGAAGGAATATCTCAACATACAGATTGAGTGATGATGGTAGCCACAGAGCAGACTAGGGAGCAAATGCTGCCCAAGAGCTAGAGCACAGAAAGAACCCTGAGAGCAGATCTGGGACTGAGAAAGGAACCCAGGACACCAAGCAGTAGAAAGATTTATATGCAGTTCTCAACAGAGGTCTACTTATAAAATAGATTAGTATGTAGTTAACAATAGTTAAAATCAGCTTGTGGAAACCTTCAGTATTCTGACATCACTAAGGGAAAGGAGAAGGGTGCAAATGAAATATGTAAAAGAAACAAACGCATTAAAAACAAGACTAACAACGCTATATTTATTGCTATGGATTGAATTAGTCCCTCTAAAATTCATTTACTGAAGTCCTATCCCCCAGTAGCTCACAATGTATTTGGAGCTAAAGCCTTTAAAGAGACAATTAGAATAAAATGGGTGGCCCTAGTTCAATATGACTCATATCCTTATAAGAGCAGGACAGGATGGACACACACACACACACACACACACACACACACACACACACACACACAAGACCATGTGAAACCATAGGGGGAAGATAGCGATCTACAAGGAGAGCAGTCTCAGAAGAAACAATCCTGCTGAAGTCCATCTTGGACCTCTAGCCTCAGAACTGTGAGATAATAAATTTCTGTTGTTTAAACCACCCAGTCTGTGGTATTTGTTACAGCAAGTCAACACAATACTGAATGGGGAAAAGTTGGAAGCATTCCCTCTGAGAACTGGAATAAGAGAAGGATGCCAACTCTCACCACTCCTCTTCAACAAAGTACTAGAGGTCCTGGGCAGAAGAATCAGACAAGAGAGAAATAAAGGGCATCCACATAGGTAAAGACGAAGTCAAACTGTCACCGTTTGCTGATGATATGATCATCTACCTAGAAAATCCTAAAGACTCCTCTAGAAAGCTCCTAGAACTGATAAAAGAATTCAGCAAAGTTTCCAGATACAAAATTAATATACACATATCAGTAGCTCTTCTATATACAGTGACCAAGTTGAGAATCAAAGAACTTAACCCCTTTTACAATAGCTATAAAACAATAAAATAAAATACTCAGGAATATACCTAACCAAGGAGGTGGAAGACCTCTACAAGGAAAACTGCAAAACGCTGCTGAAAGAAATCATAGATGACACAAACAAATGGAAATACATCCCATGCTCATTGATGGGTAGAATCAATACTGAGAAAATGACCATACTGCCAAAAGCAATCTACAAATTCAATGCAATTCCCATCAAAATAATACCATAATTCTTCACAGGACTAGAAAAAACAATTCTAAAATTCATATAGAACCAAAAAAGAGCCCGCACAGCCAAAGCAAGACTAAGCAAAAAGAACAAAACTGAAGGCATCATATTACCTGATTTCAAATTATACTGTAAGGCCACAGTCACCAGAACAGCATGGGGCTGGTATAAAAATAGGCATGTAGATCAACGGAACAGAACAGAGAATCCAGAAATAAACCCAAATACTTACAACCAACTGATCTTCAACAAAGCAAACAAAAACATAAAGTGGGAAAAGAACACCTTTTTCAACAAATGATGCTGGGATAATTGGCTAGCCATATGTACAAGAATGAAACTGGATCCTCATCTCTCACCTTATATAAAAATCAATTCAAGATGGATTACGGACTTGAATCTAAGCCCTAAACTATAAAAATCTAGAAGACGACATTGCAAACACTCTTCTATACATTGGCTTATACAAGGATTTCATGACCAAGAATCTAAAAGGAAATGTAATAAAAACAAAGGTAAATTGCTGGGACTTAATTAAACTAAAGACGCTTTTGCACAGCAAAAGGAACAGTCAGCAGAATAAACAGACAACCCACAGAGTGGGAAAAACTCTTCACAATCTATGTATATCTGACAAAGGGCTAATATCCAGAAGCTACAATGAACTCAAATCAACAAGAAAAAAAAAAATCCCACCAAAAAGGGATTGATGGCTAAGGACATGAACAGACAATTCCCAAAAGAACATATATAAATGGCCAATAAACATATGAAAAAATTCACATCACTAATGATCAGAGAAATGCAAATCGAAACCACAATGTCATACCACTTTACTTCTACAAGAATGGCCATAATCAAAACATAGATGTTGGCATGAATGAAGTGGCAGAGAACACTTCTACACTGCTGGTGGGAATATAAACTAGTACAACCACTATGGAAGACAATGTGGAGATTCCTTAAACCACTAAAAGTAGGCTGGGCACAGTGGCTAATGCCTGTAATGACAGCACTTTGGGAAGATGAGGCGGGTGGATCACAAAGTCATGAGTTTGAGACCAGCCTGGCCAACATGGTGAAACCCCATCTCTAAAAATACAAAAATTAGCTGGGTGCCGTGGTGCGCACCTGTAGTCCCAGCTACTCAGCAGGCTGAGGCAGGAGTATTGCTTGAACCCAGGAAACGGAGGCTGCAGTGAGCTGAGATCACACCACTGCAAGCCAGCCTGGGCGACAGAGTGAGACTTTGAAAAAAAAAAAAAAGGCACAAAAAGTAGAACTACCATTTGATTCAGCAATCCCACTACTGGGTATCTACCTAGAGGAAAGGAAGTCATTCAAGATACTCACATACATATGTTTATAGCAGCACAATTTGCAATGGCAAAAATGTGGAAGCAACACAAATGCCCATCAATCAACGAGTGGATAAAGAAACTGTGGGGAGTGTGTGTGTGTGACAGAATACTATTCAGCCATAAAAAGGAATGAATTAATGGCATTTGCAGCGACCTGGATGAGACTGGAGACTATTATTCTAAGTGAAGTAGCTCAGGAATGAAAAACCAAACATCACATGTTCTCCCCTGTAAATGGGAGCTAAGCTATGAGGATGTAAAGGCAAAAGAATGATACAATGGACTTTGAGGAGTCAGGGGAAAGGGTGGGAAAGGGGTGAGGGATAAAAGACTACAAATAAGGTGCAGTGTGTACTGCTCAGGTGGTGGGTGTATTAGAATCTGACAAATCACCACTAAAGAACTTACTCATGTAACGAAACATTATCTGTTCCCTAATAACCTAAGGAAATTTTTTTTTAAATTAACATAAAAATTAAAGAAAATAAAATTTAAAAAAATTACTTGACCAATGATATATTTTATTTAAGAAAAACATTTATAGGGGCATGGCTGGAATACTATGATTATGCAATAACAGACAATGGCCATGGTGAATATAGGGGCAAAGGGGAGTAGTGTAATACCGTGAGGAAAAAACAATGAATTAAGATTTATAAGACAATGCTTGAGTTTCAACTGTGCCTTTTTACTCCCTATAAGATGCTGAGCAAATGTCTTCATCTATCTGAGTTTTCTCATCTGCTTGGAAAGGCAGCTGAAAGAAACAAATGAGAAATACACACAGATAAACAAAACAAAAAAAAAAACCCACAAAAGACTGTTGAAAACATGAAGATAGGATGAGATGCCAGTTTTGTTTTGTTTTTTGTTTTGAGATGGAGTTTCGCTCTTGTTGCCCAGGCTGAGATGCAACGGCATGATTTTGGCTCACAGCAACCTCCGCTTCCCAGGTTCAAGCAATTCTTCTGCCTCAGTCTCCTGAGTAGCTGGGATTACAGGCATGTGCCACCATGCCTGGCTAATTTTGTATTTTTCATAGAGATGAGGTTTCATTGCTGCTCTCGAACTCCCGACCTCAGGCGATCCGCCTGCCTCAACCTCCCAAAGTGCTGGTATTACAGGCATGAGCCACAGCACCTGGCCGATGCCAGAAGTTTAACACAAATTAGGAATAAAGCAATAAAATAGATGGACATCTTTGTAATCCCCAGGATGCTATCTTTTAATCTAGCAACAAAGGCAAAACTACAGTATGAGCATCAGAAGTTCCTTGCGAAACTAAAAACATACGGCACAGTGGCTTATGCCTATAATCCCAGCACTTTGGGAGGCCAAGGAGGGCGGATCACTTGAGTCCTGGAGCTCAAGACCACCTTGGCTACCATGTAGAAACCCCACCTCTATTTAAAAAAAAAATATATATATATATACAAAAATCAGCCGGTGTGGTAGTGCACACCTGTAGTCCCAGCTACTCAGGAGGCTGAGGCAGGAGAATCACTTGAACCTGGGAGATAGAGGTTGCAGTGAGCTGAGATCGCGCCACTGCATTCCAGCATGGGCAACAGAGCAAGACTCTATATCAGAAAAAATATATATATATTAATAAATCAATGTTAAACAAATGGGCAAAGTAGGTCTAAGTATTTTGGAGTTCTACTTTTAAAGAAAGGGCATACAAATTGTTACCTCTGATAATCTATCCTATTTTATCTAAATATTTTCAACTATGATTTTTCACCCAATAAAAAAGGTATCACATAAAAGAGTGCAACATTTAGTTTAAGAATTCTGAGATGTGCAGATCACTTGAGGCCAGGAGTTGGATACCAGCCTGGCCACATGGCGAAACCCCATCTCTACCAAAAATACAAAAATTAGCTGGGAGTGTTGGCACACACCTGTAGCCCCAGCTACTCGGAAGGCTGAGGCACAAGAATCGCTTGGGCCCCGGTGGCAGAGGTTCCAGTGAGCCAAGATCATGCCACTGTACTCCAGTCTGGGCCACAGAGCAAGACTCTGTCTCCAAAAAAAAAAAGAATTCCTAGAGGAACTGAGACAATAGCACAGAGTTTTAATATTCAAAGAATACAAATGCACAATCATTTTAATGTTAGGAAGCCCAAGAGTTTTAATATTCAAAGAATATAAATGTATAATCATTTTAATGTTAGAAAGCCAAAGAATCTTCTACAAATAAAAATTCATGTAATTCATTGTTTCTGAAACTGCAAATGCCAAAAGGTGCCCAAAGTATACATTTGAGCATTTTAAACAGTCAAAAAAAATTCTCTAGAGCTGAAAGGACAACTTCAACTACTACTTCTTCAATAATATATAAATGGAGTTATATAGCTGAAATATAAATGGAATTTTACTATGGAGAAACAAATGACTTCATTCTACAAATAACCTAACTTTCACTGATTCTTTAACAAACAGCTATTAAGCACAAAGTGAATTGAATATCTGGGATAAAATTAATCATAAATACCAGATGGGCTGGATGCAGTGGCTCATGCCTATAATGCCAGCACTTTGGGAGTCCAAGGTGGGCAGATCACTTGAGGTCAGGAGTTCAAGACTAGCCTGGCCAACATAGTGAAACCCTGTCTCTCCTAAAAATACAGAAAAATTAGCTGGGTGTGGTGGTGCATGCCTGTAATCCCAGCTATTCAGGAGGCTGAGGCACGAGAATCTCTTCAACCCAAGAGGCCGAGGCTGCAGTGAGTTGAGATTATACCAGTGCACTCCAGCCTGGGCAACAGAGTAAGGCTCTGTCTAAAAAAACAAAAACAAAAACAAAAACAAAAAAAAACCCTCTTGATTCCTGCCATCAAGGATTCTACAAGCTAGGGAGGGAAAAGGATACATGAACAAATAACAACAACATGTAAAACTGTTAGACTAGAGTTATGTACTATACATAATAAGAAGGAGGAACAGGGGCCAGGCCCAGTGGCACTTTGGGAGGCCAAGGAAGAGTACTGCTTGAACCCAGGAGTTTGCAACCAGCCTGGGCAACATAGTGAGACACTATGTCTTAAAAATATATATATAATAAAATAAGGAACAATATAGTTTTCTTTTTTCATATCTATAAAACTCAAAAATATTAAGAAAAAACACCTTCCCAAATAATGGACAAATAATAATAGAAACCGCTCTTACTTGGAAAATCCTTTCCATCTGGATAGTAATATTCTGTGAATTCTATATAGACAGCTGACATTTCTTGTGGAAGATATAGGGATTTTTTATTGCAGCAAATCATACTTTTGGGGGAAGAACGACATTGTTCTGCTGTAGAGACCTAAAAAAATAAACAAGTTTACTGAAATCACACTGAATAAAAACCTTTCAAAATAATTTATGCAACCCAGACAGTACTTTTAAAACTACTTCCAAAAATTTGCTAATGGTTAATTTCCAGTGTAAACTTTACTATATATTTAACTTCACATGGAATTATTTTTAAACACCCATCAACTATTCAGAAAACTCTATAATCTTTTTGGATCCTTATCAATCACAAAATCAACATTGTACATTATTTCTTGTGAACTTATTATTGTGAGCCTTAAAACGACAGATAGAAAAATAATGATAATGACATTCTATCAGATAATACAGATAAGTAAATGGCAGTCAGGACATAGATCCAAGTCCTCAGATCCAGAATGCTTCCCTGTATGCTATTTAAAATAATTCTTTATCATAATTTCTCCATTATCATGAAAAACAACAGAGCTATACATAGTTTCAGCTTGAGATAATAAAAATTCTGGAGATGAATAACGGTACTGGTCACACAGTAATATGAATGTACTTAATGTCAATTATTAAATTATATACAGATTAGTAATGTTAACATAGATATAGACATAGATTTATTTTGTTTTTTTTTGGTAGAGATGGGGTTTTGCCATGTCAGTCAGGCTGGTCTCAAACTCCTGACCTCAAGCGATCCACCTACCTCAGCCTCCCAAAGTGCTGGGATTACAGGAGTGAGCCACTGCACCCAGCCGACATTATTAGGTTGGTCCAAAAGTAATTTCGGTTTTGCCATTACTTTCAATAGCAAAAGCCTAAATATATATATAATTATAGTAAATTCAGTCATATCTTACAATAAAAAATAACTAATTTAAAAATAATAACTATAAACACTTCTGTCAAATAGTTTGATTGCTCAAATTATTTTTCCAAAAAGACATTTATACACAAACCAATAAATGTGATTTACCACATAAACAGAACTAAAAACAAAAACCATATGGTTATCTCAATAGGCAAAGAAAATGCTTTTGATAAAATCCAATGTCCCTTCATGATAAAAACCCTCAACAAACTATGAATTGAAGAAACATACCTCAAAATAGTAAGAGTAATCTATAACAAACTCACAGCCAACATCATTCTGGAGGGACAAAAACTGGAAGCATTTCCCTTAAGGAATGGAACAAGACAAGGATGGCCCTCTCACCACTCCTATTCAACATAGTACTGGAAGTTCTAGCCAGAGCAATCAGGCAAGAGAAGGAAAGAAAAGGAATCCAAATAGGAAAATAAATCAAATTATCTCTCTTTGCTGACAATGATTCTATATCTAGAAAACATTAAAGGCTCCACAAAAAGGCTCCCAGGACAGATAAGTAACCTCAATAAAGTTTCAGGACTCAAAATCAATGTAAACAATCAGTAGTATTTACCTACATCAATAACATTCAAACTGAAAGCCAAATTAAAAAACAACAACAACAAAAAAAACCCACCTAGGAATACATCTAACCAAAAAGATGAACGATCTCTACAAAAACTGGACCAGTCATGATGGCTCACACCCAGCACTTTGAGCAACTGATGCGGGCAGATCACTTGAGGCCATGAGTTAGACCAGCCTGGCCAACATGGTGAAGCCCCATCTCTACCAAAAACACAAAAATCAGCTGGGCATGGTGGCACACGCCTGTAATCCCAGTTTCTCGGGAGGCTGAGCATGAGAATCGCTTGAACTCGGAGGCAGAGGTTGCAGTGAGTTGAGATTTTGCCACTGTATTCCAGTATGGGCAACAGAATGAGACTCTGTCTTAAAAAAAAAAGAAGTCCACAATGCTCAAAACAATCTACAGTCAACGTCATTCCTATCAAACTACAAATATCACTTTTCACAGAAATATTTAAAATATTTAAAAATTCATATGGGATCCAAAGAAGAGCCTGAAGAGTCGAAGCAACCCTAAGAAAAAAGAACAAAGCTAGAGGCATGACATTACCTGACTTTAGACTATAAGGAACCAAAACAGCATGGTACTGGTACAAAAACAGAGACATAGATCAATAGAACAGAACAGAGAACCCAGAAATAAAGCTGCACACTTACAACTATCTGATCTTTGACAAATTCGACAATAACAAAAAATGGGGAAAGGACCCCCCTATTCAATGAATAGAGCTGGGATTACTGGCTAGTCATAGTTAGAAGAATGAAACTGGACCCCTACCTTCTACTATATACAAAAATTAACTCAAGATGGATCAAAGATTTAAATATAAGAGGTCAAACTATAAAAGTCCTAGAAGAAAAGCTAGGAAATACCATTCTGGACATAGGCTTTAGCAAAGAATTTATGGCTAAGACCTCAAGGGCAATCACAATGAAAACAAAACTAGACAAGTGAGACCTCATTAAAGAGCTTCTATACAGCAAAATAAACTATCAAGAGACATCCTACAGAATGGGAGAAAATATTCACAATTATTTAAGAATTGTGAAAACCAAACACCATTAAAAAGTGGACAAAGGACATGAACACACACTTCTCAAAAGAAGACATGTGCAGCCAACAAGCATATGAAACAATGCTCAACACATCATTAATCATCAGCAAAGTGTAAATCAAAACCACTGTAAGATACCATCTCACATCAATCAAAATGACTACTATTAAAAAGTCAAAATACAGATGCTAGTGAGGCTGCAGTACTGCATGTTCTGACTTATACGCAGGAGCTAAATGGTAGGTACACTTGGAGACAAAAAAAGGAACAACAGACATTGGAGACCCCAAAAGGAGGAAGGGAAGAAGGAGAACAAGGGCTGAAAACCTAGCTGCTGGGTACTATGCTCGCCACCTGGATGATGGGATCAATCACATCCCAAACCTCAGCATAAGGCAATATAACAATGTAACAAACCTGCACAGTACCCCTGAGTTTAAAATAACAGTTAGATTTTTTTTGAAAAAACTATTAGTTTTAAGGTTCTGGTTACATTTTTTTCATCCACTCCCTAGTTAATTACAGCAAAAATGTATATATAGTCACAAAGTTCAACCAATAAAGTTTTATCAGTTTCATTTATTTGTATTAGTAGACCCAGGGATGCAGCTTAAGTTTTTGGTTTTTTTTTCCCATTCTTCATTCAATTTTTTTCCCATTCATCATTCAATAGACGTGTATATGTCTCATATGAAGTGGAATAATTTTTCAATGGTTTATTTATGGTTCCTCTTACATAAACTGCCTAATCAATTTTTCTGAGATAAGAGTCTCACTCTGTCATCCAGGCTGGAGTGCAGTGGTGCAATCTTGGCTCACTACAACCTCTGCCTTCTGGGTTGAAGTGATTCTCATGCTTCAGCCTCCTGAGTAGCTGGGATTATAGGCACACACCATCACTCCTGGCTAATTTTTGTATTTTTACTAGAGAGGGGATTTTGCCATGTTGGCCAGGCTGGTCTCCAACTCCTGACCTCAAGTGATCCGCCTGCCTCAGCCTCCCAAACAGCTGGGATTACAGGCATGAGCCACCATGCCCAGCCAAATTGCTTAATCAATCATTTTAATTTGTACAGTCTTTATAAATCCAAGTCAGTTCCTTATAGTATCTAATTAAAAAGCTTTTCTCTGAATATAAGGAAAAATTTCTTTTCAATTCAAAGTGTCAACTTATTTTAACAAATAAGTTT